GCTGTGCTGATCAACACGCACTGGCTGGGTTAAAGCTGTACACTGATTACTAGAACAGTAAGTTTTAGTTTTAGTAAGCGTTTTACGGCACTTGCAACACAATAAGGTCATATAAAAGCAGAAGATTAGAGGTGTTACAAAAGAGTAACAAACACAAAAAAGAAGGAGGGGAGATAAAGACGATAGATGTTTTATAAGAAAGAAGAAGCAGCAGTAACTTTTTAGTCTCAGAGTTTCACGGCAATCGCTACACAAATTATAGGTCATATAAATATAAGTGCCGAAGGCTAGAGAGTTTACTAAAAAGTAATATACAAACAAAAGAAGGAAGAGAGATAGTTTTAGTAAGAGTTTTACAGCACTTGCAACACAATAAGGTCCTATAAGTGCCGAAGATTATTAGAGGTGTTACAAGAGAGTAACAAACATAAAAAAGAAGGAGGGGAGATAAAGACGATAGATGATTGACAGGAAAGAAGGAGCAAGCCACACCAGAGCATCCGCCAACCACCCACTTGGAAGGGTTTAGTTCACAATTGATATGTCACTACACATTACACACTGCAACAACATGGAATGGTTCACATATATATATATGATGATAGGTGACGTCTGTGGCCTAGTGGTTCGGCTCTCAGACTTGCAATCAAACAAAGGGTCAGGGATTCCAATCCCCTGGGGCGCCAGATGCTGTGTCCGTGGGAAAGGCACTTTACACGAATTTACAAGAAACACCTTCCAATCACCAATATAATAATAAATAATAATAATAATAATAATAATAATAATAAAATAATAATAATAATAATAAATAACACTTTATAGATCCCAGAAGGGCAATTTGGTAACTTCTTGCTTTACTATTTAGATGGATTTCCTGGAAATCTCACAAACAAGTCATTCTGAACATGATATATTATCAACAAGAAACAAACAGTAACAATGGATCTTCTACTGAATCAGCATAATAATACCAAATAGATAGCATAAAGCAAGCTTCTTCACGGGAGCCTACTATGACCTTTTGATAATGATCTTTTGACCACGCTCTTTATTTTTACCAAAAACTGCATACAGGTGTTTCTTACGTCCCCGGTGACACAATTGACGTACTTTAGGTGGAAAGCTTCGACCTTCCTGCTAGAGCTATCCCAGGATGAGAAAAGTTACAACATCCCAGCAGAAAGACCTGCATATTGATAAAAAGTCTCCTCACACGAGAATCAAAATGTGTCACGACAAGGTGGAATCGGGCGCTCGTCAATTTTTGATCATGTGGAGTTATTGGTATCAACTAATGGCTTATTCATTTCCAGTACTTTCAATTTTAAAAAAACCTATTTATCTAAAACAGAAGTCGAGATATTTGCGATTGAACGAGATGAGGTCGACTGGTTTCAGGGTTAAAATTAGCAAAAAAGTGGCCGCCAAAGGTCGGTAGGTTCAATAGCCTGAGAGTCCTTGAAAACTGAAAATTTACATATTTTGTGCCTTTAATCAACGTTTTCAGGACAAATTCGTCAGAAAATGAGTTTTATATGGACATAGAGCCTTAGTGCTAAAAAACTTTTGCTAAACTGGCTGAAAAATTCCTGTTTCTTTGATTTCATCATTTTGACAAGCACCTGATTTTACCACGATGCCTCACAAATAGGGTCTTCAGCATGCAATGGCAAAGCGTGTCACCCACTTAGACTCTTTGTCCGTGCTCACTTTAAACCATGATATTTTGACCACGACATTTTCATTACCAACCTTTCTGACCCTAAACTTTTCAACTTTTCATCAAAACCTTTTGATTCTGCTCTTTTGATGATAATACATTGCTACCAATATTTCAAAACCAAAAAAAAAACCAGACTCTACGTATGCGGTGGGTCAAGATGGTGGGCACTGGTCTTGTAAACCCTTCACAAACACTTTTTTTCCCAGCCATTGAATTCAACAAAAGTATATAATTTTCATTTTGACTACTGTCGACCTAACTCCTACCATGAAAAAGGAGATCACTGGAGCCATTTCGTTTGAACAGGTTACAGTAAAGTCTGTAGTGCAGATCAACAAAAACTTCCATTGGAAGTTTTTTCTAAAAGTGCGCACGACAAGTTTTGAACATAGTTTCTGTAAATACACGAGGGTAACAATCGGTCATCATCTTCAGCATCTTGGGTGAAATGATAAAATGGTATAGGTTTAATGCCCCTGTCAACACTATTAGGTTATTTAAGAGGCAGGGTATCTTGGGTCACAGCTGAAAGTGTAGATAAACCTCGGACCTGCAACCTGTCCAATGAAATACTTTTTTTAACTTAACACCAACTGTCTATCCCTTTTCTTTTTTTAAAAAGTGTTTTACGGCGCTCGCAACTGCATAAGGTCATATGAGCGCGTGGGACACATAAAATTTTTAAGTTGGCAGGAAATTCTGAATTTTCCGCGGGTGGCGGTCGAAGCCTACTCTTATTGATTTTATATCCCTTTTTGGCTGAGGGCAAAGATGAGGTGGTGTAGATTCACGCTCATAACGTCAGCAGAGATAAAACAACATGTTTTTAAATTCCTTTAGCTGCGAGCATTTCGCTCTTGGCAGCGCTATAAAACAACATAGAAACACACACATCAGATACAAAAAATTCAGAAACATATTGAGCACATAAAGTCACACAACGGGACTTTGAGCAGAGAAAAGTGTAGGTCACCCTGGGCTGAGGAAACAGTTCCATAAAAAATCACAGACAATTGTTTCATACGGAATGTGATAGGAGGCGAAAATGAAAGATTCACCAGTTTGTCCAAAAGGTTGACAAATATTAAAGTGTAATGAACCAGTCAAATCCTCTTCGGGGAAAAAGGCAGAAACAGAATAATACACGGATATTGTAAACTGATCTTTTAAAATCTGTCGATAAGTTCTGGGCCATTCTTTTAAATTCAAAATCTGTTTTACAGTCAGAAAAAGAGAAAACAACAAATTACAGTGAAAACATTTGTAAATATGAATAACTTCTGCAATTCCTGAGAGTTAGATAGGGTAAACATTATAAGTTTTGAGAAGTACTGTCAAACATCGTATTGTTTGCATTACTGATTGCATTAAAGCAGGGCTTGTCAACCATTTTATAGCCAGCATCCACTTTGGCCACTTTTAAGTCTTTATCTCATTGCTATCCTTGGTCAACCCTTCTATATATGGCTGTGAATGCTGGAGAATCACTAAAGACAGTGAAAATAAAATAGAAGCAATAGAAATGTGGTTTCTTAGGAGACTGCTAAGAGTATCGTGGAAGGAAAAGAAATCAAATAAGGTAGTGCTTGATGAAGCCCACGTGGGACGCTCAATGTTAAAAACAATCAGGAAACGACAAATGCAGTTTTTGGGACACATAAATAGACATAAGGGACTTGAACATCTAGCTCTCACTGGCAAAATTGAGGGCAAGCAAGTCAGGGGAAGGCCCAGAACAATATACTTAGGGAACCTAAACAAATGGGTAACAGGGAAAGATCAAGGAAACGTAGCTTTTTTGAGAGCATCCGAGCAAAGGAATGAATGGAGAACCATGATCGCCGATGTCTGTCGCAGATCCGGCACTGGATGACGATGATGATCCCCGAGGGGGATAAACCCACTATGCCAGGGCCCTTTTTTGGTACTAAATCTAAAAACGAAAAAAACATCACTAAACAGGTCATTAAATCAAAACAAGAGAAGCTATTTTAATAGTTCTTCATCTAATGATTGAACTCTCGGTAAAAGAGACCTGTGTTCAGCAACTGCCAAAGTCGTCGTAAAGGAATGTACCTGAGCCACTGCTAACAGCACACACCGACACAACGGTTCTGACCATGAGCCACTGAGAGCGGCTTGCTAGAGATAAGGAATTAACACTTTGCCGCCTCATCTCGCCACCCAGTTACTTTGGATTTTACCCAAAATATGATGGCAAAGTGTTAAAAGGCTCAAACTTTCATCTCACCCACCTACATGAATTTAGTTTCAGTGAGAGTTTTACGGCACTTGCAACACAATAAGGTCATATAAGTGCTGAAGATTAAATGTGTTACAAGAGAGTAACAAACACAAAATAGAAGGAGGGGAGAAAAGGATGATAGATATTTGATAGGAAAGAAGGAGCAAACCACACCAGAGCATCCGCCAACCACCTACATGAATTTCTAGGTTGGGCCTTAAATAATACCTGTTAATTCCTGAATGATCCTCATCGCCCATCGAAATTACAAAACTGCCCTGTAATGGGTGATATGGCCCAGATTAGCAAACACTGCATAAAAAAATACAAAAACATCAAATTAAACGGTTGAAACTTTGGAATGTTGCAACATCTCTGGGACAACCTTTTTGAGGAGTGCTCATACACATACATACATCTACAAACTTGCTCATTCTGTTGGGTAAGCCGTAGCTCGTGTGACAAATTTCACACACTCAAAAATTACTTGTCTTTGGATGTTTTATGAAATCATTGCTGCTTATTGAAAATCTAAAATGAAATAAATTGGGAACTGAGAGGTTTTCCATGACTGTCACTCCTACAATTGAAAACCAAAACACACAACAGCTTCAAGATCTTAGACATTTCAAGACATGACAAAGTAGAAGCGACCAACGAACTATCAATGAAAACAAATCAACTGCTTAGAGTAAAACTCCGCTATACACTGCTCTGAAAAGTGACCATAAAAGACAGATTTTTACACTGAGCAGTCAAAATCTACATATTCCAATATCAAAAAGTGTTTTACCATCTGGCATGAAGCAAGTGTCTGAATAAACATCAATGTGAATTGCTGCTCCGAACACATACATGTAGCTATGTAATGCTTAAGGCCTTGTGATAAAATCCTGCATGTCGTCCAATGATGCATCTGATGTGATATGTACATTATTGTCAGCTTTACTTTTCTTGCCATGTTGAATTTTAATGAGAGTAACATATAATTTAATTCCTATGTCATATGTATGCCAGCATGTAATTTTATCGTCCTGTACAGCCAAGGAAAATTTCCCTCTGAGACAATAAAGTAAAGTATTATCTTATCCTAACTTATCACTTTGGAAAAAATTCATTAATCTTTCATGATAATCACATAAACTTTGACAAAAACAAAAAAAGAAAAAAAAATTCTTTGAAGGTCATAACAGTCTCACTATAACATCTCGCCGATTTCCTGACCGGGAAGCTTTGGTCACCTGCGAGTGAGCTAAGGTCTCCACTAGGACGGACATTTCCTCATTTCAACTTGTCGCTCTCTCCTGACAACACGGTCACATAGGGCCAGACCCCGAGGAAGAACTGAGCGGAACAAAAGAAATCGCATGTGTCAGAATATCTTCTTTCTTAGTTTTAGTAAGAGTTTTACCGCACTTGCAACACCTCTGTATCACCTGTATTACCTGACCTGGGCAACAATGCCATTGCACACAGGACAGGTCCATAAGTGCCCAGTTCCCCCCAGCACCAAAGCCAGCAAAGTATCCATACTGATTGTTCCGGTGGCTGTCTGGTTATCTTGCAACACAATAAGGTCATATAAGTGTCGAAGATAAGAGGTGTTACAAGAGAGTAACAAACACAAAAAAAAAAGGAGGAGCGATCAGGATGATAGATGTTTGATAGGAAAGAAGGAGCAATATCTTCTTATTGTTTTTGTTTTTGTAAGAGTTTTACAGGACTTGCAACACAACTAGGTTATTAAAGTGCCAAAGATTACAGGTGTGACAAGAGAAAAAAATAGCAACCCCCCCCCCCCCCCAAAAAAAGGAGGGAAAATAAGAACAATAGATGTTTGACAGGTAAGAAGGAGCAAACCACACAAGAGCACCAGCCAACCACTCCCTCAGAACATTTAAAATGCACAGGGATAAAATGTTTCTTATTAAACAGAAACAGTTGCTTTTTTTCATCTTTGTCGCACTTATGTGAGAAAAGCAACGCAAAGAATCGTGACACAATATTGGTCACTTAAAGCAAGAAAAGAAATTGGCAGACAGACAGAAACAACAGATGAAAATTTGTTTCACTGAGCGTTTTACGGCACTTGAAGCACAATAAGGTCATTCATACAAGTGCAAAGATTACGGGTGTTACAAGAGAAAAGCAAAGAGAAAAAAAAAGGAGGAGAGATAAGGACGATAGATGTTTGATAGGAAAGAAGAAGCAAACCACATCAGAGCACCCGTCAAACACCCACCAACAGAAGGAAAGAAAAGAAGTAGCAGTTGCGGTCTTTTGCCTTGCTATGGAAGCTCAATACCTCTCTAGATACAGAAATGACTATTTTAAGGGCAGAGCATTTGGTGAATTGACAGAAGTGTCTAAAAACCACAAGAAGCTGAACGTCTTTAGAGACAACAGAAAAAAAAAACCCCACACACACAAGCACACACAAAAACATACACTCGCACGCAAGCACCAACACACATGCGCACACTTCACACACACACACACACGAATGCATGCACACGCGCACACACGCACATACACACACACAAACATGCACACACTTCACATACATACACACACACACACACACACACACACACACACACACACACACACACACACACACACACACACACACACACACATGCACACACTTCACACACACACACACACACACACACACAAAAGCACAAACACGCACATACTGTTCCGTTCATAACCTGCAATAATATCTTACCTTTACTTGAGGATCTTTCTGCAGGTGTAAATATCTTGTATGAACTCTGTGAACAGAAGAAAATATCTCATTTGTAGTTTAGTATTAGTAGAGGTTCTATGGCGCTCACAACTGCATAGGGTCATATGAGCGCCAGAAGATTAGAGGTGTTACAAGAGAGTAACAAACATAAAAAAAAGGAGGGAAAATAAGAACAATAGATGTTTGACAGGTAAGAAGGAGCAAACCACACAAGAGCACCAGCCAACCACTCCCTCAGAACATTTAAAATGCACAGGGATAAAATGTTTCTTATTAAACAGAAACAGTTGCTTTTTTTCATCTTTGTCGCACTTATGTGAGAAAAGCAACGCAAAGAATCGTGACACAATATTGGTCACTTAAAGCAAGAAAAGAAATTGGCAGACAGACAGAAACAACAGATGAAAATTTGTTTCACTGAGCGTTTTACGGCACTTGAAGCACAATAAGGTCATTCATACAAGTGCAAAGATTACGGGTGTTACAAGAGAAAAGCAAAGAGAAAAAAAAAGGAGGAGAGATAAGGACGATAGATGTTTGATAGGAAAGAAGAAGCAAACCACATCAGAGCACCCGTCAAACACCCACCAACAGAAGGAAAGAAAAGAAGTAGCAGTTGCGGTCTTTTGCCTTGCTATGGAAGCTCAATACCTCTCTAGATACAGAAATGACTATTTTAAGGGCAGAGCATTTGGTGAATTGACAGAAGTGTCTAAAAACCACAAGAAGCTGAACGTCTTTAGAGACAACAGAAAAAAAAAACCCCACACACACAAGCACACACAAAAACATACACTCGCACGCAAGCACCAACACACATGCGCACACTTCACACACACACACACACGAATGCATGCACACGCGCACACACGCACATACACACACACAAAGATGCTCACTCTTCACATTTATACACACACACACACACACACACACACACACACACACACACACACACACACACACACACACACACACACACACATGCACACGCTTCACATACACACACACACACACACACACAAAAGCACAAACACGCACATACTGTTCCGTTCATAACCTGCAATAATATCTTACCTTTACTTGAGGATCTTTCTGCAGGTGTAAATATCTTGTATGAACTCTGTGAACAGAAGAAAATATCTCATTTGTAGTTTAGTATTAGTAGAGGTTCTATGGCGCTCACAACTGCATAGGGTCATATGAGCGCCAGAAGATTAGAGGTGTTACAAGAGAGTAACAAACATAAAAAAGAAGAAGGGGAGATAAGGACGATAGATGTTTGATAAGAAAGAAGAAGCAAACCACACCAACCACCCACACACTTTGTCATTTACAGAACTGAATTTGCCTACACAACATTACTCATTACAACAAACCTTAACCCCTTGTCACAAAAAGCAAGCAGAGTAACTCTAGGCCTCATGGAAACATCCCCCACTTGTATTTGATTGAGAAAGACTTACAATCGCAAAACAAAAAATACAATATTACAATGAAGCCTGAAACTTTCCAGTGAAATACTTACGCAAACAACAAAGCCATGTATGTGCCAAAGCCGGCAAATATATGCCACCAGGCGTGGCATTCAAAAAGCATTCCCGAAGACTTATCCATCTGGTCTCGAATGTATCTGCAGAAAAAAAAAGACCAAATTATACCTTGAGACTATCAACAAGTATCAACAAAGGCTGGTATCAATAGCAAGAACTGCCATGCTCTAGGGGAAAATACCTCATTAACTCTTTAACCAAGTCTGGATGGTGGCAGCGTCCGGTAGTCAAGGCCCGTAACCATGGACGGATGGTACCACCGTCCGATGCGAAGTTATTATTGTATTATGGTATGGACCGAATATAAAAAAGTACGAGCTTACAGGCCTGTAGATAGACCCGGAAGTGAAAGATAAATGAATTCTACGTCTGGGTAACACTTTATTGATCAGTTTGACGCGAAACAAGCGTTTTTAAAAACGTAATATGTCGGGTCGCATTTCCACAAACACGAGAGAATTACACAGAAACGTGATTTTAAATAGCATGGTTAAAGAGTTAAGCTTGATACAACACCATGTCTCAACACTTTGTCATTTACAGGACTCAATTAGTTTTAGTAGAGGTTTTACGGCGCTCGCAACTGCATAAGGTCATATGAACACCAGAAGATTAGAGGTGTTACTACAAGAGAGTAACAAACACAAAAAAAGAATGAGGGGAGATAAGGACGACAGATGTTTGATAGGAAAGAAGGAGCAAACCACACCAGAGCACCCGCCAACCACCCACAGGACTCAATTTGCCTACACAACATTACTAGGAATATATCATCATAAAATGTCGGATCTGAAACAGTCATTGGCAGTCATTGTTTGCTGCAATCTCTCTGCTTGGATGCTCTTTAAAAAAACTTCTATTGCCGTGGTATTTTCCTTTCATCCACCTGTTCAAGTTGTTTAAGTACATAGTCCTTGGTCTACCTCTGCCTCTTTTGCCATCTACTCCACCAATGACAGCTACATATTCAAAACCTTTGTGTCTGTGTAAGTGTCCCAGATACTACATTTGTCTCTTCCTCGTTGTTTTTATTAACCCTATCCGTACGTCGTGTTTTACTATCGTATCCATATGACGTGGGGAACTCTGTGCCACCCCTTTCCAAACAGGAAATTTATTCGTTAATCCGATACGTACGCTTTGCATAGCAGTCTGTCAAAATGATTTTTTGAGAAACACTGAAAGTTACAAAGAGATCTTCTCACTAGAAGTATTCTAAAATATGAAGAATACAACCCCTGGGGTACAAAATAACCCCTGGGGTACAAAATAACCCCAGGGCGTACGGATAGGGTTAATGAGCTGCCCACTAGGACTTCTTTCTGCACAGATTCCATATTTCTGCTGCTTCAAATTTATTTTGACTGCCTTTGATAATTTTCTACCATTTAGAGCCGCAAAGAAGGGCTGACCACACACAGCCTTTCAAAACTTTTGCATTGGTTATCATTGAGATGTTTCCGTCTTTGTCTGGATTGAACCTGCGCAGCACCTACTTTCCTGCCTCCCCAGACATCGGAAATACTCTATACAGCGACAAAGCACAGCTGATTAAAACCTGCAAATTCTTTGCCATATCGACAGACCGAAGGGCTAAAACCCAAATGGCCGCTGGATCGGAAAAGTAAAGTAAAAGTAAAGTCTGGATTGAACTCATTTAATGAAAATGTTCTTTTAGTTTAGTAGAGGTTTTACGGCACTTGCAACACAATAAGGTCATATAAGTGCCGAAGATTTAGAGGTGTTACAAGAGAGTAACAAACATAAAAAAGGAGTGAGGGGAGATAAAGACGATAGATGTTTTTGATAGGAAAGAAGAAGCAAACCACACCAGAGCACCCGCCAACCACCCACTTCCAATAGTTTCTACTGTTACATGTACAATAGCTTACCTTAAATGATGGCAACACAAGTTGTCGACATTCCACAGAAGGAATCCGAGAGCATAGGTAAACAGGGAGACAGCGAATAACATGACATTGCAGTGCATAGTTCTGGGGACAAGAAGCAGATGGTCACAACATTACGTGACATCGCACTCCATAGCTATATCTGTATTTTTGTTTTAGTGAGAGTTTTACAGCACTTGCAACAGTTTTTAGTTATATTTGTATTTTTGTTTTAGTGAGAGTTTTTTTAAAGATTTTTACAGCACTTGCAAGAGTTTTTAGATATATTTGCATTTTTGTTTTAATAAGAGTCTTTTTAGTTTTAGTAAGAGTTTTATGGCACTAGCAACACAATAAGGTCATATAAGATCCAAAGATTAGAGGTGTTACAAGAGAGTAACAAACATAAAAATGAAGGAGGGGAGATAAGGATAACAGATGTTTGACTTTTGATAGGTAAGAAGGAGCAAACCACACCAGAGCACCCACCAACCATCCACAGACTAACCACTAAATCACAACAGCACCAGACTTCCTATTCTACAAGGGGATATTTAACACTTTGCCATCATATTTGGGGGAAAATCCAAAGAAACTGGGTGGTAAACATCGCCACGGCAAAGTGTTAAGAACGGTCAAACAGTCATTGTTACACATTTGTGAACACACCCCCCCCCCCCCCACCATCCCCACCCCCCTTCAAAAACAGCAGTGCTTGACCGTATGGTGACCACGCTTGCCACAAATCGTCCCCTCAGAACTATTTTTTTTTTATAGTAGAGGGTTTTACGGCGCTCGCAACTGCATAAGGTCATATGAGCGCCAAGGGGTGGGTATCAACAGAGAAGTCTTTACAGGGAATCAGACTTAGACTGCTCACCTCTCTAGCTTGAACAGCACAAGGTCTGCTTCGACTATCAAGGCACCCCGGAAATAGCAGGTCACAAGAGAGTGACACACATACAAAAGAAGTAGAGGAAAATGACAATAGTTAGGATTAGGAAAGAAAAAGCAGCAGTTCCCTGTTGTAGATCAGGCACAGTTATGAGCGTGACATGAGTCAGCCCACTTACAATTCTACTATGCTTGAACGAGAAATGTCCCCCCTTTGGGAATGGTCTAAAGACACTACAGTCAGTGGCACTGCCCCGGGGGGTCAATTCCTCAATCAATTTTCACACACACACACACACTACAAGCTCAGAACAAAACTGACCACAAAAAGAACTACTTACTGAACTATTCTGAGAGCTATGAGCACCATGCTAATCACCATAAGGGCGTAGGACACCTGAAAACAAGCAAGGTTATCCGTCAAAGGAGGGACTCGTGAACAACAACATAAATAACAATATTAATAATACTATTAATCTTAATAATACTACTACTACTAATAATAATAATAAGTTTTAGTTTTAGTAGATGTTTTACGGTGCTCGCAACTGCATAAGGTCTTATGAGTGCCAGAAGATTAGAGGTGTTAGAAGAGAGTAACAAATATAAAAAAGAAGGAGGCGAGATAAAGACGATAGATGTTTGATAGGACAGAAGAAGCAAATCACAACAGAGCACCCCCCAACTACCCACAATAATAATACTAATAATCTTTATAATCCTAATAATAATAATAATAATGATAAAAATGATAATGATAATGATAATAATAATAATGATCATGATATAATAATAATAATAATAATAATAATAATAATAATAATAATAATAATAATATTAATAATAATAATAATAATAATAATAATAATAATAATAATGTACTAATAAAACACATTTTCCTTACATAGGATACAGATAGACAGACAAATCGGTATACCAATGGTAAAACCGACTGAAGGACAGAAAGATGGAATAAAAGACAGACAATGGAAGAAAGGACAGATGGACAGAAAGACAGACACACAGATAGACAAGAAACCGTTTTACTCAAATATTATATGTGTCATGACGCGGTGGAATCAGGTGCACAGGCGCTCATCAATTTGGGGCTATATAGAGTTACTGGTATCATCTTAAAACCTGTCCATTTGCTTTGCTTATAATGGAAAATATATACATTTATCATTTGCACAAGTCAAGATATTGGCCATTATAAAGGAGTTGGGGGTCGCCTGGTTTCAGAGGTAAAATGAGGGAGAAAATGGCCTCCAAAGTTGCATTATTTCCTAGCTTGAGGGTCCGTGGAAACTACGAGCTCTTGAAAATTTACATCTTTTATGTCTTTAATCAACGTTTTTTAGTAAAATTCACACAAAATGAGTTCTTTAATGCGCATGAAAGGTGCTGAGCCAAAAAACAAAAATTCGATAAAAATTCCCAAACCTGCAGGAAAATGCCAGTTTCCTCACCATCATTATTTTGACGAGCGCCTGATTTCACCACGCTGCCTCACATATTCTCTTTTTTTTTTTTTCAACTCACCTCATGGAATACAGGAGCGTTGATCAAGACATACACCTGAGAAATATAACACAATCCTCAACAATAGAAGACATCTAAGATATTTGTTTCTCTAAATAAACCTACCCTGTAAATGCTTGAGGTTTGTTTCAGTTCAAGTAAAGCGACGCACAACAACATGAAACTGGTCATCATGAGCAAGGAAAGAGTGCAAGACAGACAGAAATTGCAATGGGAAAGTACAGATGTAGGACTCAACAGCAAAGCCCCCCAATTTTAGTTTTAATAGAGGTCTTACGGCGCTTGCAACGACATAAGGTCATATGAGCGCCAGAAGATTAGATTCAAAGAGATCTTCATACTAAAAGTATTCTAAAATGTGAAGAATACAACCACGGGGGTACAAAATGACCCCAGAGCGTACGGATAGAGTTAATTGGAAATTGTAAAGGATGTGTCAAGCTTAAAGAACTTGGCAACTGAAAATCTACTTATTTGACCGCGAAGTTGATTTTTGGCCCACATCTCCATTAGTGGACAGCAAGAAATGATGACGATGATGACGTTGATGGCAATGATGACGATGATGACAATGATAATGGTGATGCTACACCCACAGACATGACTCACCAGGGTGACCAGAACACAGTAAACAACTAAGAACACTTGAAGGGGGATGCACTCTTCATCCGGTTTGCTCTTTATCATATATCTGGGGGAAAAAAATAATGTTGAGATAAAAAAAAAGCACATAGAAACAATAACGGACATTGAAGATTTTGTTTTTGTTTTAGTAGAGGTTTTACGGCACTTGCAACACAATAAGATCATAGAAGTGCCGAAGATTAGAGGTGTTACAAGAGAGTAACAAACACAAAAAAGAAGGAGGAGGGGAGATAAAGACGATAAATGTTTGAAAGGAAAGAAGAAGCAAACCACACCAGAGCACCCACCAACCACCAACGTGAAAACTGCAAGACCATAAAGCATTATGAAACATTCAACCATCAACTGATATACTGCGAAAACTGCAAGACCATAAAGAATTGTTTCATCACCTACAACCTCTGACAATCACCAACTCCTTCTACATACCAGCAAAGCAGCTGACAAGGACACACGCATAATGTGAGGCGTGCTGACAAAATGAATTACTTCTCACAATCCACAAATGGGGATATTGACCAAAAATCGACACTTGGGTCAAATTTCTAGGTTTGCTATTGATGCAATATTCATTAAGTACTAAATGCCTTTTATTATTTCACACTTACAAATTATAAAAACTTCACCTATAAGCATGATAATGTATCTATTTCCATAGGGCCCTAATCCGAGAAGTAACTCATTTAGTCAGCACACACACATATACAGTCCACTACATGACACACAGAGACAGCTAAAAGCTAAAAGTTCAGCGACCATTGGATAAAAAACAATAACAAGAAAAACAAAACCACACAACAGAAACGTGATCCTCCACTGTGCCATCTCATAATAATTAATCCCAGCAGAGCAAGGACAACTCCATCCAGCAATATTATAGCGTCGCTGTCACTAGCAATCCATTTAAGTCCGTTTTCGTTTTAGTAAAAGTTTTACGGCACTTGAAAAAACAATAAGGTCATATAAGTGTCGAAGATAAGAGGTGTTACAAGAGAGTAACAAACACAGAAAAGAAGGAGGGGGAGATAAAGACTATAGATGTTTGATAGGAAAGAAGAAGCAAACCACACCAGAGCACCCACCAGCCATCTACTAAAGGTGCACCTTTCAGCATCACCAAAATGCTCTTTAACCCTATCCATACGCCCTGGGATTATTTTGTACAACTGGAGTTGCATTCTTCACATTTTACAATACCTCTAATACGAAGATCTCTTTGAAACTTTCAGTATTTCTCAAAAAAATCATTTTGACAGACTGCTAGGCAAAGCCTACAGATCGGATTAACGAGTAAATTTCCTCTTTGGAAAGTGGTGGCACAGAGTTCCCCACATCGTATGGATACGATAGTAAAACATGACGTACGGATAGAGTTAATGCTATGATCAAGGCTTACAATTGACCTGCTTTTCATGACTCCTGATAGGAACAACACAACAAAAACTAGTTGTTTTTTTATTTCATCGAGTGTAAAAAGTAGCCAAACAGACTTAAGTGGATTGCTTGCGACACCGAATATATGACCAAGTAGGTTTAATGTTACCATTACACTCATAGCTCTTAAGCTGACAACGATTATGTATGCAAAGCTTTCGCTTAGTTAAAGAGTTGAGATCTACTATAGTGACACACAATATTGAAATGGTCAGTGAGATAACTCATTTAAATACAGTACTTGCACTTCAATCTGTTTTAGTTTTATGAAATGTTGCAAAAATAGTCCAAAAAAAGAAATGGCCAGAAACAAAGCAGGAGTACTTTTGTCCTTTCTTCTGCACTTGTTCACTTCCGGGAAAATACTATCTAATCATGTCACTGGACTGGTGATTACATCATTGAGTGTTTATCATTTAGCACTTTTACCTACTTTTTAGCAGCAGTTGTGAGTAAGGGTACCTGATTTGCGAGTTGGGGGAAGTAAAGGCGGTGTGAAAAGGAACTGGCCACCCTACCACAATAATATTATATCAAAGGCCCAGGAAGTTGTCTCACTAACAAGGCAATCCCCAAATGTCCAGATCGGATGCGGGAACAACTTTACCTTTTACCTACTTTTTATGACTAGACCGAATAAGCATGCTTCTCTTTAACTTAATTACACTATTATTTTTAATATTATAACAATGCATAGCTGCAACTAAGTAACCACTCCAAGCAAACAGAAGCTAATCTGCTGACAACCCCCATCCCTCTCCCCCTTTATGTAATACACAGTGGGAGTTACTCTCTTGTGCTATAACCTCACTGGCATCTCTAAGTATGGGAGAAGGTGGAGGAGGGGGGGATGAGAGATACAGAGAGAGAGAGATACAGAGAGAGAGATACAGAGAGAGAGAGAAAGAGAGAGGGAGAAAGAGAAAGAGAGAGACAGAGAGAGAGAGAGAGAGACAGAGAGAGAGAGAAAGAGAGGGGGAGAGAGAGAAAGAGAGGGGGAGAGAGAGAGAGAGAGAAAGAGAAAGAGAGAGAGAGAGTGAAAGAGAAAGAGAGAGAGGGTGGGAGGGGTGGGGGAGAGAAGAAAAAAAATAGAGAGAAAACCAAAAACGATGACGCCTGCAGCTGTATTAAATTTGTAGACTTCTAGCCTCCTCAGAATACAATAAAGTATAATCTGTGTCGAGACAAAGAGAAAAGACGAATCTTTCCAGACATTATTGCAAGTCAGATTTGCATAATGTATACAGTATTTTTCCAATACATTTCTTAGTTGTATAAAACAGCAGAGATTAACATCCATATTCCCCAGAGGAGATTGAGTCCGGAAGAAACTACATTCATGAATATTTATTCTTACAGAATAACTTTACATAAATACATTTTACAGAAATTTTCTGACTTCACCAGACTAAGATTTGATATTTAGTATAACTTTATCCAAACGCCCTGGGGTCATTTTGTACGCCCCTGGGCTGTATTCTTTACATCGTAGCATACTTCTTGTACGAAGATCTCTTTGAAACTTTCAGTATTTCGCAAAAAAATCATTTTGACAGACGGCTATGCAAAGCGTACACATCGGATTAATGAGTAAATTTCCTCTTTGGAAAGAGGTGGCACAGAGTTCCCCACGTCGTATCTCTTTCCTCCCTTGTCCATTCGGATTGAGGTGTTTGTTGTATTGTTGGGGTTGTTGTTTTTTTTGGGGGGGGTTTGGGGGGGGGGGGGGGTAGTTAGTAAAAATTTTACGGCTTTTGCAACACAATATGGTCATATAGGTGCTGAAGAATAGAGATGTGACAAGAGAGTAATAGATGTTTGATAGGAAAGAAGGAGCAAACCACATTAGAGCACTCGCCAACCACCCACATTCGGATTAAAAGATCAAATTCCACACCAAAAAAAAGTAAACAAAGGAAGCACAAAAGTGATACTTTCATATGAGCCATGATACAACTAGAGAGATTGTTTAGTGTCAGTACATGGGTTTTTTAAAGTTTTAGTCGAGGTTTTACGGTACTCACAATTGCATAAGGTCATATGAGCGCCAGAAGATTATAGGTGTTACAAGAGAGTAACAAACATAAAAAAGAAGGTGGGGAGGTAAGGACGATAGATGTTTCATAGGAAAGAAGAAGCAAACCACACCAGAGCACTCGCCAATCATCCACCTTTAATAAGTGTTTTACGGCACTTGCAACACAATAAGGTCAGATAAGTGCCAAAGATTAGAGGTGTTACAAGAGAGTAATAAACAGAAAAAAGAAGGAGGAGAGATAAGGATAATAGACATTTGATAGGAAATAAGTAGCAGATCACACCAGAGCACCCGCCAACCACCCACATAACAAAATTAGAATGAAAACAAGCAGATGGAGGGGAGCCCATTTGACTGTCCATCAACCACCCCAAAGAAGAGAAAAACGTAAAAATTTGTAAAAATAATCTATAGCAGAGATATAACATATAGCACACATATAAAGTGTACTTACAGTGAATAGACAAGAAAACTGCTGCCCCAAATCATTGGCAGTTCATCCATCAACTGAAATAAATATTAATATGAGTGAGATGTAGTTTCACAAAACACAGCAGAAATGTAAAATTTTCAGACAGAAAGATTCAAGACAACAAAATTATAGTGCCACAGACTTATTTTGGCACTGATCACAGTTTTTAAAAACACCTTAAGTTCCCTGCTTTTTTTTTTTAGTAGGTTTTACGGCGCTCACAACTGCACAAGGTCATATGAGCGCCAGAAGATTAGAGGTGTTACAAGAGAGTAACAAACATAAAAAAGAAGAAGGGGAGATAAGGACGATAGATGTTTGATAGGAAAGAAAAAGCAAACCACCAGCTTTAAAGATTGAAAAACAGATTTTTTGTTATGTAATGATTTGATAGAGACATTCCATTAAAAACCTTCTTCCCCCATAATCAAGAGATACTGGTCACTGGATAAATACAAAGTGGTAGTAAAAAAGGATGAACATATGTCTCCCTAGCTGGATAAAGAGAAAGTTGATCATGGATTTAACTAAATAAAACGGGGAAAAAAAAAGATAAAAAACTTCTCACATACTATTTTAGTTTTAGTAGGAGTTTTACTGCACTTGAAACACAATAAGGTCATATAAGTGCTAGAGAATAGATGCATTACAAGAGAGTAACATGCACAAAAAAGAAGGAAGAGAGATAAGGACGATAGATAGACGTTTGATAGAAAAGAAGGAGCAAACCACACCAGGCGCTCATAAGACCTTATGCAGTTGTGAGCCCCTTAAAACCTCTACTAAAATAAAACCACACCAGAGCACCCGCCAACCACCCACTCACATAATATGCTACAACAAACACCATACATCACACGCAAATTGAAACAACAATGAAATGTATAACTGCTTCTCTCCACCCATTTGGCCTGATTCTAAATGGAGCTGGACATAAAACTGGAAGGCCCTGCCTCATAAATTATGTTATAACCTAGCAGTGTGTAAAGCGTAAAACGACTTGAAACCAACACCACATCATAGAGTCAAACTGTTAACCTTTCAGCCTCTGTCAGTGTCTAAACTTTCAAGTTGTTCTGGAAAAAAAACATTTTCTTTCGCTTGAAATTGGTGATTTCAGAAAATTGACAAAAAATCTTCTTTTGGGTTTATGTATATATTTTTTAAGGCATCTTTTCATAAAAAGTGAAGTCTCTTACGCCATTCCCAAAGGAAGGATATTAACATGCTCTTACGCACAGCAGAATTGTAAATGGGCTGATTCATCAATGTAATGCTCATACTGTGCCGGAAAAACATAGGGGGAACTGCTGCTTTTTCTTTTCTCATCCTTACTATAGTCATTTTTCCTTTACTTCTTTTGTATGTTTGTCACTCTCTCGTGAACTGCTATTTCTGGGGTGCCTCGACAGTTGAAGCAGACTTTGTGCTGTTGAGGCTAGAGAGGTGAGCAGAGTAGGCCTGATTCCCTGTTTGGGCTTCTCTGTTGACATCCACCCCTTGGCGCTCATATGACCTTATGCAGTTGCGAGCGTCGTAAAACCTTACTAAAACTAAAACTGATATTGAAGATAAGTGGGGTGCCTAGAGGATATGCCAAGAGACTAATTCACATTTGGCCCCCAAATCTGACATGATCCAAGAGGTTCAATTTTGTGTGGACCAGTCTGATGGATCTCCAACCAGATTAAGAGACTGTAAGCAGACAGACTCCGGGATGGATCCTGAAAGGGGGGGGGGGGGGGGGGGGAGGAGAGATGGACATGTTCTGACTGTAGTGACCCCAACACTGAGGACAAGGTGTGACAAGTTGTGTTCAATTTTCCTTGACCTTACATCACAGAAAATAGAGGGAACTTATCACAATTGTCCCCCATCCCCTAACGTCACATCATTATAAGAAATTTTATGAAATTCAACACAATAAGTCTCCTTTGCTTGAAGCCTTGAACATCTAGCTCTCACTGGCAAAATTTAAGGTTAATGAGGCAGGAATAAACTCAGCGCAACCCATTTGGAGATCTTAAACAGAAGGGCCACCTGGAAAGATCAGGATAATATGTGTCTCAACGAGGTGGAATCAGTCGCAAAACATGTAAATATACAGTATCCAAGGACTTTCTAGCTATGATAGTCACCAAACTTTGGCAGCCGTTTTCTCGCTAATTTCACCTCTGAAACCAGAACCTTCACCTATTTCTATCAAGAATATCTCCCCTTTTATTGAAAATAGATGGTCAATTTTTTTCATTGAAAGCAAGACACAAAAAAACGAGCTTGAACACACTTTCAGACAGACAATACCAGGAACAATCCGTAAAAGGAATTACTTACCTGCATACTGTATTGCAGCGTCATATGAAACAGCCACGACCCCATCCCCACAACTGAAATTATAAATAAAACAAGAACTTATTCTATTATTCCCTCCCAAAAAAGACATCAAGGCTGGAGGCAATTTATGCTTTTATTAACCTCAGTCCTCATTTAACCCACTTAAAAATAAATATGACGTTAACAACATCATAATGATTATAACCAAGATTCAGTACAATATATATTGATCAGTAATTTGTCACATGAAGTATTACCCCTAGAAATTTTCTTTTTATAAAAATACAAAGGGAAAAAAAAAGAAAATGTAGATATAATTGTAGGATAACAATAGTGTTATTGATAAAACAAGAAATAATTAATAAATCTAATTCGAGGGGGAACCAAACTGAAGAAAATAAGAATCTCTAATCTTCATCTAACATTGCATTAAATTCTATAAAATATACAATTAAAATGATTTTCACCTGTTATTGCTGAAAAACTGTACAGGAATCTCTTCTCATGGTTTTCCTTCAGACCAACGAAGACCATAGCGAGAGGTGCAAAGATCATAACAGCATTGGACACAGTGTTCCCTGTCATGAAAATATAACATTAAAAAATGTGTTCCCTGTCATCACAATATAAAGTAAAAAAATGTGTTCTCTGTCATGACATTATTTATAACGTTAAAAAATGTGTTCTCTGTCATGACAATATAACGTTTAAAAATGTGTTCTCTGTCATGACATTATGACGTTAAAAAATGTGTTCCCTGTCATGACATTATAACGTTAAAAATGTGTTCCCTGTCAAGACAATATAACGTTAAAAAATGTGTTCTCTGTCATGAAAATACAGAGATAAAAAAATGATTTCACACCTGAGCGGTTCAGCAGCCATTACATTTACCCTATCACATTATAACGAATGCAGGTATCAAGAGTGAAGTGCTGTTCCCATGAGGAGCTCAAGCTCTGTAGATATAGAGCGTTGAGATAAAAGTTTTGGAAGGACTTCCGTAACGAGCGACGACCCCAACAAAAACAATAAAGAAGAGACCTAACCCTAACACTACCCTAAACCTACACCCTACCCATCTGTTTTACTCTTGTCTCATAGTGGTCGCTCGTTACAGAAGTCCTCCCAAAGTTTGTACGGTGGAGGAGGAGGAGGAAGAAGAGGAAGAGGAGGAGGAAGAGTAGGAGGAGGAGGAAGAAGAAGAAGAAGAAGAAGAAGAAGAAGAAGAAGAAGAAGAAGAAGAAGAGGAAGAAGAAGAAGAAGAAGAGTTTGTTCATCAAATATGCAAGAATGACCAACTCATCTCTGTCTCTAAGTATCCAACATAGATTCTAGATCTATTATGTTACATGATGACAGCAGTGTACAAAACAACAATATGGCTTCCGCAATATAATATATATATATATATGATGACAGGAACAATGAAAACTGCACATTCAAATGGACACTAGTTAATTTAAATGGTGTCAAAAATGGAGTGAGTGTGTGTGTTTGTGTGTGTGTGTGTGTGTGTTTGTTTTAGTGTTGGTCGTTACACTTTAAAAGACAGGACATCTCTAAATCTAGATCTTACAACATAAAGAAATGACTAGATAGCCTATCTAGTTACTTATTAAATATAAGTAGATCTATTAAGTAATAGAAATCTAATTTGAGAAAATAGAATTAGAAAATACACAAGAAACAGTTACAATACAGCGTTCCTTGCTAGGAAACGAGGCGAAGAACTTACAAAACTCAGCGATGTAATAACTGACGACGTAATTTTCCTCACACCAGTCAATTGTCGCCGTTTGTTTTCCCCAGTAGCCTTCAACAGGAGCCATGTTAGCGTCAGAACATGTAAAAGCGAACTCCAGTAGATTTTCTAAATCTGCACTTGAAATTCTTCAGCAACGGTATCACTCATTAAACTCACAAGTCGACCACTGTACTGCAGTCAGTCAGATACTCTAGATACTCTCTCACTTTCACTCCCAGTGTCTCTCCGGTTGCCGTGAATGAAACGGAAGTATAAACTTTTGAATGCCCCACCGCACTGGGATAATAATAATAATATTATGGATGCCGCCGCTTGTGTACGTAATAACAACCTCCGACAGAGTAGGTCAGTTCAGTATTCGCGTTCCTTTTATTCACTTATACTTTTTCGCACTAGTCTACTTTTTCCTTTATTTTTATTTATTTTCACTCTTCTCCTGTTGTGTGACCAAAATTTGGTCCCCTTTGAAGATGCGCAAAAGTACGAAATCTCAAAGTTTGAAAGTTCTGCTAACTTGTCATCACAATTTTTCAAAACCTAAAGAATAACTCATTGACATTGAGTTTGAGTTTATCGTCACCTGAAAACAGCCTGAGATTAAATATAATGTTTGCATTAGGACTAAATTCAAAAACACAATCATCACCTCCGACAATAAATAACCGAGACAACTTGTTTTTGTCGGGGTTGACATAACCCTGACAGCTGACGTGACTTGGGGGCGGGGTGGGGGCGTTACCCCTGGGGCGGGGTGGGGGCGTTACCCCTACTCGTTTGTTGTTGACATAATTGATATACATTGTAATTGTTTGCTCCGAGGCAAATAAACTGCCCCCACATCGTACACGACATCAGATCTAAACGCCCGACACCCTGAAGCTGCCGTCTGATAATAATATGATAATGATTTACTTGGCCCCAGGGACAATCAAAATTCTTGGGGGGGGGGGGGGGGGGGGGGAGGTGGTTCTCCTTGTATGTTTGTTTTAGTAAGGCTTTACGGCCCTTGCATCTGCCATGGTCAGATGAGCGCCAAGGGGTGGATGTCAATAGAGATGTCTAAACGGAGAATGAGGCTTACGATTCTCCTCACTTCTCTAGCTTCAAAAGCACAAAGTCTGCTTCGACTATCAAGGCACCCCGGAAATAGCTCAGTTCACAAGTTGTTGTTGTTGTTGTTGTTGTTGTTGTTGTTGTTGTTGTTGTTGTTGTTGTTATCGATCCAGCAACAGCTGGGCTCTCACCCTTCTGTCCAATGCCATGTAGTGATAAGTGCAGGTCTGCTGCAGTTGCTGTAATGTTCCATAGAGTGTGTTGTCTATGTTAGGTCTCGGAGGGAGAAAGGTAGCTCTGATGTCATTCAGGGCTGTGCAGTGGAACAGGTGATGATCCACAGGCTCATATGCATAGTCACACAAGGGACACATTGGGGGAAGTTCCGGGTTTATTCTGTTCAGATGGAAGTTGAGCTGTATATGTTCTGTTCGTAGGCGGAAGATCGTGGTCTGTTTCTTTCTCTGAATGCGGTTGATATTGTCATTCCTTTTTGTTGTGGTCATATATATGTTTGAAAACTGCTCTGCCGGTCTTTCCCAAGGCCCATCTGTTCATCCAATCTTGTTTGTTGTTGCTTTTGATGATTTGTTTTGCAGTGTTGTATGAAGTTGGAGTGTTGGGTTGTTCCTGTCTAGATCCCAGTTTGGCAAGTGTGTCTGCTCTGTCATTTCCAGGTATGTCTGAGTGTCCGGGGACCCACTGCATTACTAGGTTGATGCCACAGAATGTTATCAGATGATGGGATCCAAACAGTATATGGGTCAAATCTTGGTTCAGATGATGGTCATTTTCTATGGCTGATACTGATTGTGAGTCAGTGAAAATCACAACACTCTGTGCTTTTCCAGGATGAGTGTCAAAAACTGTGCGGAGATGGCTCAGTTCACAAGAGATTGGTAAACATAGGCCCCCTACAAAAGAAGAAGAGGGAAAGTGACGATTGACCCTAGTATAAGGATTAGGACAGAAAAAACAGCAGTTCCCCCTTTGCAGTTCAGGCACAGTTATGGGCATGACATTGCTGGATCAGCCTGTGTACAATTCTACTGAGCATAAGAACATGGGAATGGCCTAAAGACACTTCAGTCAGTAGCATGCCGCCCCTAGGAGTAGGTGGTTCTCCGAAAAAATAATAAACGTTCTAAGTTTTCGCAATGTCTATCTCACAGAAAACCAGGTACGCAAATATCGTCTATATCATGTACCACTGTTGGTACCCCGGTTCAAAACCTTATTGGTGTTTTACTGAAGCAGCGTTGTGTGTTGGGTGGTTTGAAGGCTCCCCAACAACTTAAATTTGGCCCTGCTGTATCAGAAACGGACGACTGGGGGCTCTCGTGGCCTACAGGTTAAAGTGTTCCCCTCTCATTCAAAGGTCCCAGGTTCGAATCCAGGTAGCGACCGAAAAATTTTCTTCTCTAAAATTGTCTCCTTTCACCTCCTTTAAATGTCTGCTCTCTAGCAAGGTTCTGTCGTCTGCTTTCGTCTCCTCTTTCTGCTCCCACCTCCTCACTTCCTTTGCCCCCTCCTCTGGGCTCTTGACTCTTTCTGCAGCCTTTCTACTGCTTCTCCTTGGCTCCTTCTTACAACTGTCTTTCAGCCACACCCCTTATCTTCCGGTAGGAAAGATCTACACCTAGCCTTCTCGGACTAGTGTGAAAAATCTCGGAGGTCCCGTGTGCAAGCTGCGTAGGTTAAAGATCCTGTGGTCTAAAATCGATAAGAGTAGACTTCGGCCGCCACCCAGGCAAAATTCAAAATGTCCTATCAACTGAAAAAGTTTAGTTTAGTGTGTCCCGCGCGCTCATATGACCTTATGCAGTTGCGAGCGCCGTAAAACACGTACAAAAACAAACAAAACAGAGAGAGAGAGAGAGAGAGAGAGAGAGAGAGAGAGAGAGACGTACGACTCAAAGGTCCGGCTGTGACAACAGTCACAAAGTGAGGTCACCTACGACACATAAACCTCAAAACCAGACAGAATTGTCCTGAATATCGCTGCACAGAGAGGCGTCAATAGAGCAATCATTACAAAAAGAGGTTAACAGTAACAATTATTATAGATTGATGGTAACAAGAGGAGGATTACGATAATAGAGTGAGTGATTGCATCCGAAAGGAGGTAGCTAAAGTGATAGCATCTGAAAGGAGGTCGCTAAAGTGATTGCATCCGAAAGGGGGTCACTAAAATGATTGTATTAAAAGGAGGTCACGAGCATAAATTATGTGGCGCATCATCAAAGTTATCTTTGACACTCTCGGTGCATACGATGTGACTCACCATCTGATAGAGCAGGGAATCTTAGTGTAAAAAAGGGGGGGGGGGAGAGAGAGAGAAAAAGGGGGGGGGGGAGAGAGAGAGATTTATTTATAACACTTGGACACGAATTTTGTTAAGTCCCCTTTATTTCTAACTAGAATCAATATTTTGTTTATTGTGTTCCCGTGACCGATCCCAGGGTTCCGAGTACCAGGATGACTTTACCTTTTTTCTTTTTTTTTTGCATTCATTGACCAGAAACAAAGTCATTCTTCATCTGGTCCTCTCCTCTGGGGTTGTATTTGAATTGCAGCAGGAATTTGAGCCTTGCAGTACTAATTAATTTTGAGGGCTTGTAGATCAGGGAAAAAATTCAAAGTAAATAACAATGT